CTGAGAACTTACCTGTACCATGGATATATTTTAGAATATTTTTATCCTGATTCCTGACAAAAGGCTCCCAGAGCAGCTCACATACGGTGGGTAAAACAAGCCATTCCTTAGAGTGCTGGACACCTTGGCTTTTACTCTGTCCATGTACATCAGTTTTCATAGTGCAGCGAAGTAAATATTTGCTCTAGTTACACAATTGCTGAGGAATTGCAGCAATATTGCAATCCATGTAAAACCTGCCATACCATTTAAACATACTAACTACATGCCTTATAATTGTATTAGGCTGAAGCAGGACCACTGCAGAGCTTCCACGTTCTGACATGCAGGGTTACTTCGCCTCTGGAGCCAACCTGTACAGAATTAGCAAAGAAGATACGATAGTCATCATTACCCAACCTGGTAGAGATGGCTTGGGAAACTTGCTTGCAGTTCAGAGCTGCACAGGTGTGTGCAGCAGGGGGAATGGAACCCCGACCAGTTCATCTCATTTCTTAATGCACAGGCTTGGGCATATAATCTGTTCATACTCCTAAACCTTGCTCTATATAACCCAACTCCATTTATTTGAAATATGTCACATATTTGGGGTGTATGCTGCCAAGTAAGAAAGTTAGCTGGATCGGCGTTTGGTGGCTCTCACACATGCAGAGTTTTAAACAGGAAGACAATCCCTGCTTTAAATGTGGTGGGGCAGACAAGCATTCAGCCCAAGAGTAATTAGTCCCTCTTGGGATCATAGCTTTGCTTGTAGTTCATCTCAGGTTCCATTCCTGGCATTTCCAGGTAAGACAGGAAAACTCATGCCTAAAGCCTTGGAGAAGTACTGCCAGTCAGTGATGCTAGAATGGCTAGGATGTTGTGCTAGAACAGGGATCTTCGGTCTGCCCAGACCCAAGGCCCATCTTTGACTGCCAACCTACAACATAGGATCCACTTTCAGCTTTTCACTTTTGCTTATTCTTAATAGTGGATAGAAGGGAGAGCTCCAGCACCTTGGGCACCACATACTGTTTAATTGTGCTAAGAATTCACATTAAATATTCACAAACATTGGAGCATTTTAAGAACTATTGTCCCCTCTCCACCCTCTTCACTGAAACCAGGGGCTGATGTTGAACAAGCAGGCAAGCCATCATCACCACAATTTCTGTTTCTTACCAAAAAACCTTATATTGAAACCAAAAGGTTTCTATTCTTTCATGTCTTTGCATTTTTTCTTGCTATTATTTCTACCCTCTTGTTTCCTTCTGTTGGCATCTTTTTCTTTAGCTGTTTCCTCGCACTCTTGTTACCTTCTGCTTTGTCTTTTCTCTGTTCTCAAACTCTGCCTTTCTTTGCCATATTTAACCTTTCCAGTATGTTTTCTGTTACTCCCTTCATCTCACTTTCTTCCACAATCCTAGGATCAACTGCATGTTGCCTTTTCCTTTATGTGCGCATCTTTGTTGAACTTGGCTTGCCTTCTCACAAGATTCAATCCTTTCTCTCTCCTACTTTCTTTTACCTCCTGCTATTGCCTGTCTCCTGTTCACCTTCCACTCACCTGCCTTGGGCCCTTGAGTAATAACAATTTGACAGAAACCAAATGGTTAGGAAGTAGTTTTGCAAAATCTATACTTCAGTGGTTAAAACTAAAGTAAAATTAACACAACCTAGCAATACCACAATGACAAACTCTTAGAAACGTCCAGTTGTTTTTCCCACCCCATAAAGCTAGGAGGTACCAAAACTGTCCATCAGGGCCAACTATTTGCATCCCACCTTTCCAGTTTAATTTTTAAGAACCCTCAAAATGTGGTCACAGAATACAAAATAATAAAAAGAGCAGAAAATATGATCAATGTAAGAGACTTCAATAGAAGCAACAAACATTGTTATTACTGTTGCAAAGAGTCTCACAAATACTCAAGTTACCTGGTACCTAAAATTCAACCAAGTTGGTACTGGGCCAACTTCTGTGGGCACCACCATAGAAGATTCCATCTGTCAGACATTAAGAGGATATTAACCTGTGGAAGGATCCTGTGATGCTGGACCTCTCCCAAAGAACTGCTAAGTAGATTCAATCCACTCATCCATCCAAGTCACAACAGGATTATGGTGGGACACTTCATTACATTTATACCTTGCACTTTCTTTTACAAATCCATGGGAAAAGTGCAAATTTCTTCTTTCTTTTCATTCCTTCCTGCACAACCATTGTGTGAAGTCAATTATGCTGAGAGAGAGAGATTGGCCCAAAGTCACCCATGGCCAAAGTGGAAATGAATTTTGTATGCTCTAAGCCTGGGTAGGCCATTGCACCATACTGATTCTTAGAAAAATGCTGTTTCCAGACCAGGAATATATGGCATTTTCATTCCATTGAGCATCTCCCCTCACAGCCAAACTCCAGGGAAAGTCTTCTTCCCACTGTCTCATGAGGTCAAAAAGGGAGACAACAGAGCTTTAGTGGGGAACTATAATGTTGGTGGACCAAAGGGATACTTTCCTATATGCAGCTATTATAAACATTTCCAATGGGTTATTGAACGAGGGCACCTCACACGACCTGACACAAGAGTGGAATGATAACCAGACAGTACGGATTTGCACATCCTGCTGCTGCCTTTCCATCACAGCCATCAGCAGCAGCTGTGCTTGCAGCCACTGCTCTGGACCCTTTCCTCCACCCCACGGCCTTGCCAGGTTGCTTGGAGCAGTAGCCTTGAGCTGCACCAGAACGCAGAAGGTGGAAGGAGAGCTAGCCCAGTTAATGCAGCTGCAGGAGTGGACCCAAAATCCCGCCTGCTGCCATAGTTTGCAGCTTGGCAGTGGCAGCAGCTGAGCTCTGCAGGTGCCTATGAATCAGAAACAGGAAGAAACAAAAGGATGGAAGGATTGAATACAGACATCACCTAGAAATCTCCACCACCACCTCCTAGTTCTCTATTTAGCTGATCATTTCCTAATTTCATAAGGTTAAAGGCTCTGCTAAGGCCAATAAAATGTGTTGCTTCAAACAAGTAACTATACCTGGGGAAGCTGTTGAGGGTCCACAAGTTCACGAAGCTTACCATGTGCAGAAAGGAGAGAAACTCACTTGGTCATTCGTTCACCGTCTTGAATTCTCAATCTTTCCCCATGAATGGCGTGTTACAAACCCAGGGTGCTGCCATTTCTTCTTCCACTTCTTGACTGAGTCTCTTGCTGCAGCCAATGAGAAGCCGCCTCTTGGAGCCTCTTGCTTTCCCCCGGATTCCAATGTCTCCTCCTGACTTACCTCACTTCAGTAAGATAAAACAAAATGGCAGGAGAGCACAGCAGTAACAGTTTTCTTGTTGACCTGGCGGTGACCCATAGGTTGAAGAGCTCTGGGCTGGCTGGAGCAATGATCAGGCTCAGCACAGGTGTTCCCAATTTAGCTCCAGCAACCCACAGTACCACTTGTGTTTTTCTGCATCAGAGGGAGTTCCACTCCAAAAATTCACTGACTTCTGCACAATAAGCAGCCTGAAGGAAGTTACTCAGGGGCATTAAAACTGATCAGTAACTTCTTTAGTCCTTCTGTAAGATATCTTTTGTATTAGATTAGTCAAATAGTGTAGTCTTCATTACACTAACTGAAACACTACAAAGTGTAGTCTTTATTACACTAACTGAAAAATATGATGACTACAGGTCAAAAGCTTTTTCACAGCACACTAGAACACAACTGTTCTAGAGCTATTGCTTTTGACTGCAGCCTATAATGTAAAAAATGAAATTTTATTGCTTTGAGAGGGATGTGTTTAGTCATTTGGCAATTTTCTAAGATTAAACATACCACAACTGGATCCACAACTGGTTAACCTGACAGATGTATGCAAAGAGCAATGCTTTAGATAACTTGTACCATTCCTAATACTATAGTTATTTTCCCTGTCAATTACACTTTGCTATAAATATGTGTGCCCTTAAGTTGATCCCAATATCAATTTCAGCCAGCTAATCAAATTATCTGCTAAGGTTTCAGGAATTATAACCCTCTTCTCTATTTAAACAAAATGAGATGGGTTTTAACTCTCAGAACTCGCCAAGCATGAGTCAAAGAGCCTGTTTTTGGAACACAGACCTTTAGCTTTGATAAACTTTGTGCACAAGTCAGCAATCCCTCAACTTGTAAATAAATGAAAAAGAGGAACATGCACTGTAATCCTATACTTAGCGCAAAAGTCCTACTCAGCCCAATCAGATTTTACTCTACATGCTAGGGAAAAAACCCAACTGAACACAGTGTGATTTATTTGTAAGTAGAAATACGTATGATTGTGCTAACTGTAGCAAGTTCTCAGCTTGGAACAGCCTGTGAGCAGACCAGTTCTCGTCTGTTTTATATGAAAATTGCATCTATGCCCTATGGCTGACTATGTGGATTAGAGGCTACTATACATTTCTCTCCATGTCTCTGTAAATGTAAACAATGTTTTACAGAAATCTGCAAGAACTATGTGGTCTCATCTGTACCACAGAACAAACAGTCCCAATTTCAAGCAGCATCCATGGGGTGACTATTTTGTGTGAAACAAACCTGCATGAAAGTCCAGGACTTTTACCAGTTCAAATGTTCTGATGAGCTCTGGATTATTGTGCTGATTGAGACATGTTATTATTGTAAATGTTGCAAGTTATTAAAGAATAAATCTTTCAAGTACTTATATAATATATTGCCATAGTAAGAGTGTCTTCTGTATGTTTCTCTGGAGAGCAGCACATTAAATACACAGGAAACATGGACAGAGTTGGGCAGCATATTTCAAGGAGAAGGAACAAGTTAGCCCAAGTATCTTAGTCACTTCTCAGCATAAACCCACTGAATGAGCTTGCATGTGTTCTTTTTGGACAATTCTAACCAAAGATTGTTAGCCATATCGTTAACTCTTCATCTTCACTCTGTGTTTGATAAATGTGTTTGATAAATGATCCTTATACAGTAAACCCAAAATTTTCTGATTTACACATATATACACACACAGAAGTATTAGCAATTTCTAGTTTTTGTGGTTCAAAGACAGTACTGATTCAACAATATATATACACACTGGCAGAATGCAGCCATTCTGCTGCAGACCCCAAAGACAGCAAGGATTTAAAGCAGATTCTATATGTAAGTTGCTTTTTCATTTTGACATCTTGTTTTGTAATTCTTAAACATCAGCTCCACATGCTACATGAAAACCACTTCTGAAACACTGAGTAGTTCAAAAGCCTACTGTGCTAGTGATCTTGGTTATTGCGCATGAACTGGTGGAGCCACACTAGAGCACATGTGCCACTTCAGATTTGCATCTTTCTCTAATAATCCAAGACTGTCTGAACCTGGAATTCTGGGTTGTCCTTCGACAATGCGGAGTTTAAACACAGTCTGTTGTGGGGTTGAAACTCTGGCCTGTTGTCTTTTGGCAGCCCCAAGTTCCAGGTTAAAATGTCACATTAAACAAGTCAGAAACAAGGAAATCCTGGGATGTTAGAAGATGAAGATGCACAGCAGAAGTGACAAGTGGGAGACTATGCACGTACTCATGCTCATGGAGCCCTCATGCTTTAAGCAACCCATGGATTGTCACAAAATGGGCCAATGTAAGGAGGCACGCTAAACAGGTAAAATAGAATTAAAATACCACTGGGTCCCTAATCATGTTTGAAATCACTGTTTGGATGGTGGCCCTTGCTCTCTTAAAACAAAAAGGGGGGATTAGTGGGAAGAGGTTCAAGATATATCCTCTTTTTTATATGCCTCTGTGGCATAAGCTACAATGTTCTGAATATTTCTTCCAAAGGATGGAACAACATTGCCACTTTGGGATCTGAGCATATTCCCTCAAGTCTCTTGTTGCAGCAGAAGAGATAGCAGCCACCCGGTCCTCTCATCTTCCTGTTCTCTGTCACACTGTGTAGTACACCAGGAATCTTGCTCACAACGGCACATTCAAGGGTGGGCACACCAGAGAACCAGGGGGATTAGATTGAGAGGAGGTGTGCTTTCTTTCTGTGGCGTTAGGAGATATAATGGATATAATGGTGACAACCCTTAGCTGGAGAGGAGCCAATTCCCCTCTTGATTAAATAACATAACCAGATCCATTTGGCTTAATGAATCTTTATCCTCAATTCTCACATATGGCCTTGATAAACTTGCCTGTCATACCCTTTTCATTCCTCAACCCTCAAAATAAAGAAAGTACAAGATTTTATGATTGCAAGATTTCAAGATGCAGGGTGAACAAGCACTTGACTAGTGACAGTGGCATCACTTTAGACTTCCCATTTTTAATATGATACAAAGCTGGAACTATTCAAAAGAATGCTCTGTTTAGCCAGCATCACCCTTGAGCTTGGTGCAAGGTAGAGTCCTGGGAAATGACTGTTTCTTGCTTCGAGTCCAAGATGAGAGAAGAATAAAAACATTCTAAAAATGGAAAAAAGGTCTACACTGCTCCTATTGCATTAACACCAAAAGATCTTATACTTTAGCAGCCACTTAATCGCTTTTGGGAGGGTAGCCATCACACAAGGGGCATGCAAAGAGCCAGAGTTCATTGCATTTTGCTTTATGTTTAGTGCTGCTGACTATTCATGTAGCTGCTCTTACCTTTCTCAAACTCAATGTTCACCCAAATAAAAAGGATACTGAACTGATGCTGGAAGAGCAGCAGGTATGTCTACACATTCAGCACACACCAATAAGGAAACACTCAGAGGTTGTCATATTATGGGATACTTAAAAAAAGAAGTTTTTCTGTGCATCATTGTCCATTTGAAGTCCAAGTGAATCATGATGTCCCTTGACGTTTTTGTTGCTGATTTCGGATGACCTCCAACTGTTTTTTGCATTGCTGGTAGTAAGTGGAAAGACTTTTATTTTCATCTAAAAGCTTTTTATGCTCTTGTACCAGACGTGATGTATTTTGCTGATCTTTTTCATCCTGGTCCAGTTCTGCTATTAGTTCTTGCCTAAAATCAACATTATCTAGAATGAGAATCTGGAGAAAGGTCACGACATACATGCTGATCTGCAGCTAGTGATGGTCACTATTTGTCTCAAAACACCTATCTTGTTCTCACAAAGAAAGCAGACCACAGATCACAGCCTGACTAAGCCACGGGGCAAGGCTTCCCTCCTGTGGCACAAGGTGTCCCATGTAATGAGGTATATGACATGTCACCATATACCTTTGCATACGTGAAACTGTCACAGAATTGTATGCATATCACAGCACCACTGACACTGGGAATGGGGAGTGGAGGGAGACCAAGTCTATTAATACTGAGAAAGCAATATTTACTTCCTTGGCAAACATATGGATGTGCAGAAAAGCCTTACTGCCATTTTTGGGTTAATAAAACATTTTAGAATGTTATTCATCTATTATTATATTTTTGTAATATAAAACTCTTTATCATAAAACAAGCTTGTTTGAGATTCATGTGTGGATTACTGAAGCTGTATCTGTCACTGTATCTTAGTTCCTTTAGTATTAGGAGAGGCAGAATGCAGTCTTTATTACTGATGAATAGATGTATTGCAGGAGACTTAATGTTCAGAATTAATGCAACTACCAGGTAGATACCAAGGAGGACCTGGAGCACACATGAAGTGCTGGATGGTGCAGACCCTTCTTCCCACATTTCCTCTTTATGTTCCATTCTTGTAATGTGACACTGTAACAGGCATTTTCCCACTCCTGAAGGAAGCCAATTATTTGAAAGAGGAGTGGGGAAACACGTAATATGGGAATGAAACTATGCTTCATGGAGAGAAAGATAAGAAAGAGTTGAGACCATGTTGTCCTTAAGTGGTAAATTTATTTCCTAGCTTTCATGTCTTGAAAGAGAAAATGCAGCTATTCGATTGCTTGCAAGAAAGGATCTTCCATTTATTTTCACAAGCAGATCCCCAAAGTGTAGGTGAAGAAGCTGGACTTCATAAAAGAAATGTAAGCACAGCCTAGTAAATAACTGGCTTCTTCAGGGCCAAGGTGGAAACTTTAAAAAATAATTTGCTGCAAACCTGCTTGGGATTTTTTCATCTAAAATTAGATGCTAAAATCATTTTAAATTTTTATCCCATCAATTAAATGAAATGGCAGTTATGAAAAAATAGTCTATGCAACTCTGGCCTCTGCTATTTCAGCAAGAGTTAGTCTCAACATAGAACATGAGCTATTTTGAGAATGGTGTAAAAATGACCAAACCTAAACAATGGTTGACATTGTGGACCAGAATATTCTTCTGGTATATATTTTGTCTGGTCCTGTTTTTGCTAGTTTTCCAACTTGTAAAACATATCTGAAGACATGGCAAAAATAAAGGAGATTTGCACAATGAATTACCAGGAAAAATTATGTATTTTTGTTCAAAAAAACTGAACGGAATTTTCAATTTTTGGTTTGCTATGTGTCATCATATAAAATAGGTGTGTCCCACCAGTCTCAAATTTTGCCATAAATAAGGTCCCACCACAGAGCACTGGACCACAACCCTTTGGCATCTCTTTCTTCCCTCAGTATAAAAAGCACATAACTAGATGTCAGAAGTAAGGGAAGTGACATGGCCAAGGAACCAAAGGTCCACTCACTGTCTTAAGAATGGGAAGATCATACTACCTTCCCATTCACAAGTGTTCTGTACTCAGAAGTGCTGCCTGTTCCAGTGGGACTCATTTATCATAGCAGATCAGGTCACTGATAAAAGAACTGGAGAAGGACAGAACAGATGTAACTGTTTGAGGTAATATGTTCCTGCAATAGGAGAACTGTATGTTTCTGGGAAGACGATGACTTGGAAGTGACAAGAAATTTCCATGACTGATATACTGGTATCGTGATTTGAGTTACTCATCATTTCAGGCTTATGGGTGATCATAGCAGATAGTAACATTCCTTTCATGCTTACTGGGAAAGGCAAGCACCTAAGGTTCAGAAGTGTTTATGACTATCAGCATGATCTGCCTTTCATGCAATTAGAGGGGAAGATGGTTCAAATGTGGTATGTAAAGCAGAATAACCAGTACATCTTGGCATGCTTGTATAACTTCTTGTTTCTGGAAATACTGATCAATTAACCTAGTGCAGTGCGGGGAAACTGTGGCCTTCCAGAGGTTCTGGCTAGTCAATATAGTCAATGGTGAGGGATGATGGGAGTTCTAGGCCAAAATATATGGAGGGCCACAACTTGCGTATTCTTGATCTAGAGGGACTCCTTTTTTTTTCATCTGGCATGATTAATACAAGTTAACCATATGGCAAGAAACCGGATAAAACTGTCATTATAGAATCAATGTTGACTATCAGTTCTCTACTGAAGTTGCCTTTTCATAACATACTTTATTGGAATAAATAACTGACTCATGATAAAAGAGAATTTTTTTAAAAAAAACTTACTTTCTCTGAAGCAGCAACGCAATTTCTGTCTGAACTTTCATATATTCTTGTGCCATTTTACAGTGCTGTTCAAACACAGCCATAGATTCTTTTGAGTTTGGACATGGTGCCAGAGGCTGAAAATAGGGCCAGTCACATTAAAAACTAATCAACTGATATTTCAACCTATAAATATGTACTTCCATACTATTCTTATTCCAACTATTATTATGATTATGATTATCATTATTATTATTCCATCTCTGTTCTGCCAAAAGCTGAAGCTGTCTTACAGTTCACAAAAGCACACATTATAATACATGGAAATAAAAACATACAACCCCCCAAATTTAAAACAATTTAAATGACTAAAACATCCAGAATAACAGACCCTATTATTATCTCAGTAGCAAGAGAAACTATGTTCAGAAAATACCTTATTATAGCAATCTGAACTTGATATGTGCCTTTACTAGTGAAATAATCTGTATCCCCATATAATATATCCCAACAAACATATAATCTGGTAACCTGCAGAAATACATGAAATACAAAAATGCAGCTAATGAATCCTTTCATCCTTGAAGAAAGTGTTTTGTAGGGACAGCTTAGGATCTCTGTGCTGTCAAGAGCTGAGGAACTGTACAGACTGCTTTGGCGCTGAGCGCAGGATAAGAGAGCCGTGGTGGTAAGATGTTCCTCTGTGGCAGCACTAGAGCACCACGGTTTTCCCCTTTGAGCTGCTGTTCAGAGCAGCAATTAATTGCTGCAGGTCGCTCAATTCAGACATGGACCAGGGGCTGTATTTTTATATTTCTCACTTCTGTGTCAAAGAATATTGTAAAAGTGCCTTGTTTTTGAACACACACATGCTACCTGACCAAAATCAGGCTTGTATCATGCATACAAGGCAATATAACCATCCATGGATATGGAAAAGATTTGTGCATTAAAGATATGTAAGGAAATCACACATACCTGCAACTGGTGATCTAACGTAAGATATGCCATTGGGATGGAGTTATCAGACCCATTAGTATCTGTTGAAAAAAACACATCTTTATTTGGACTTGACAGTGTTCACAGGGAACTCAAACTGTGCCCCATTTTCCCCAGGTCCCACTCAGATGCGGATTTCCATAGAAATTTGTGATATTCATTGATTTGAAACTACTGTTTACATGATATGTACTTATCTCTCACTGCATGATAAGTGCATCTGCAGAAAGTTCTTTACATTAACTGCTCATGCAGTGAAGTATTTGTTGAGTCATTGAAACCACACAGAATTATGCAATTTCCAGAGGTAGGCCAGCCAATTAACACACAGTAGGCTGAGTGTAATATGTTGGAATCACTGCATGAGTGGCTTTTATTTTATATTTTATTTCTATCCTGCACTTTCAGTACCTAACTGCTCTTAGGCAGGCTGTTATTACAGATGGAGATTCCATGTGAGCAGGTTAAAAAAAGTTGTTATACTTTAAGGCTTAGATCCAATTCCAGACTCTCCCCCAGCTGGGTACTGGTCAGGAAAAGACCTGTTCAAGTCTGAAGCTTATGTATCACTCTCTCCATTCCAGCATGCAATGTTATAATGGACTGCTATGCTGTGCTAGGTCGTCTGAAGCCATTCAGTGGGGAAAATGACACAGTGTAATGACAAAAAATAGCAGTCAAAGTCTGCCTAAAATGGAACATGGCAAAAGGGAGAACCACCCTGAAGAGGTGTTGACAGAAATGACAGAATGTATAAAGGAAATATGTAAAGCAATACTTACTTCTAAACTGGGACCAATGTGTTATATCAGACCATTTTATTTTTAACAAGCACACAACCCTCCGAAGGTACATGTGTGAAATGCACATGCTGACCAAGTGTGGTCTCCACTGGGTTATGCTGAACACACAGACCTATGTATGTGCAGAAACGTCCCTTTGTACATGCAGTGCAGATTCCCTTGGTGAAAACGAGACATTCAGCACAACACGGGGCTCAGCTGTGGGTGTGGTGCACCACAGTTGCTAAATAAACCTCCACTCACCAGCTGCCCTTGCACTGGCTTCTTCAGATAAAGCAAGAGCCTGCAGAAGGAATCTATTTGAAGTCAGATCAACATGGAAGTACAGCCTTTTCAGCCCTCCCATAGGAACTCTTGCCCCAAAGAAGCCTGACTTGCCTCCCTTGCTATTAGAAAAATGGGAAAGTACTTTTATCCCAGAAGGTTGGCTGAGGTACTGTCTGAGTCTGAATTTTATGACTCTAGGTCCAGAACTATCCATGTGTTGTTTTCACGGTTTGGTATGGAAACAGCCGTGAAGACTTGGTGGAGCCATGTGGCAGAGATCCCTCAAATTAAATTACAACTGTGTGCTTTTAAGTCAAGTGTGTAAGTCCATGTATAGAGGTGGTATGCAAGAAACTGTGCATCAGTGGCACAAGCATTTTCCCAAGATTAGCTTCTTTTATCACATGTATAAAGCATCGGTTATCCCATGCTGAGTATTCATTATCACCCTAATTGCAGGTAATTTTCTGATGCAATAATGAATGATAGTATAGAACAACTCTTGCAATACATTGTATGTGAATGCTTATGTCTGCGTTGGTTTGCTGTGAGATACAAAAATGCTTTGTGTTAGAAGACTCGGGAAATGCATGTCCTGAATCTGAATTTTCATGCCATATTTGTAGTCCCACAAACTCGTTGATGGAGGGAAGTTTCCACAATCATTACTCCAAGCACTAGTTTTCTCCAAGCCTGCCTTAAACAAAGGCATGTGCATGTTTAATCAACTCAAAACTTTCCAAATTGCTTATTTATTTTATGCTGAATAACTTTCAAAATATGTTGTTTCAAACAGCCCTTGTAACAAAAATGGACAGCATGCACTCTCTAACAGTGCTGGCTCCTGATGTTGGGAGACAACTTCAGCGCCTACTCATAATGCATCTCTCCTGCATGCCAGCACTTCCTGAGGGAGAACAGGCAAAGCTAGCATGTGACAGCAGCTGCTTTTTTGCTTCTTGTGTGTGAGGGGGAGAAATAGAGCCAGTTTTCATGACACAAGGCTAGTTAATAAACCACAGTGGATTATTAAGCACTCCTGCTTATGATGGTGACACAGTGGCTCATTTCCCTGCTTGCTTAAGAAGGGAACAGACTGTCATGATGTCTGCACCTGGCAAAGGTGACTGGCTGAGATGTTTAATAAATCAGCCTGCACAGGTTCTGTGTGATTCTTTGAACCATCTGAGCCACCCAGCCTTGCTAGCTTTGCACAACACAAAAAACTCCAGCCTGTGAAGGTAACTGGCTCACTAGCCATCATTGTGTCATGTGAAACCAGTCACAGAATCCTGCTGCTGCTCCGTTGGGCAAGCAAAGAAGAATCAACAAGGAGGTGCAGCAGCTGCAACAAAAGCCTCCATTGCATCAACTGACTTCAAACCTGATATTTAAAAATGTGATTTCAGATACACACATACTTTCTTCTTAAAGTATATAACAAAATCAGGGCGATACATTTTGAAGTATTAGATTTAAAAAAAAATCTCAACATCAACAGGAACTTTACCTGTAGAGTCATCAGGTGTCCATGGAAGACTACGAGCTGGTTTTTCAGGGGTTGGTCCCGAGGTAGTGATCATTCTCACACTAGGACTAGATGATCTACTGCTGTTTCTGCTTTCCTGTACCAACGTATTTGTTTTAAATGAACAGTTATCATTCAAATCACAGTTTTCAAGTGACACTGCTGAAAATGCAAAATTATTAGAATTGCCATATGACTCCTTAATTTAATTTGCCTCTCACGGTTATTTGGGATGACTTGCCTTAAAAAACTAACTGTGCAAAACGTTTACAACACCTTTCTTGCAGGCCTTTTGCTAAATGCTTTACCAGAGCCAATGTCTGTTTACCCAAGAGGACATGGTAGAAGGTCAGAAAGGAAGGGATCTAAAGCAGCAAATGAACCACTCACTTGATACCAATAAGAATGTACAACATATGATTGGTCTGATCCAGCATGGATCAGCAATCATCCATCTAGTCCAGCATCTTGTTCACATAGTAGTCAACCAGCTTCCCACGCAAAACCCGCAAGCAGACTGTTTCTGATATTGGAGGTAGCATGTAACCACCAGGACTAGTAGCCACTGATAACCTTAATCTCCAGGAATTTGTCTGATCCCCTTTCAGAGTCATACAAATTGCTGGCTATCACAACATGGGTTATTTTATCAATATGCTCACAAGCACACTGTGTGTAGAAGTCTGCAGAAAAGTGTTCCATGACAATATCATGGTGTTTCTGCCACTGCATGCTGATTACCCACATATGGGTAAAATGGAGTCATTAGTAGTCAAAGCTATGATTGGTTGGCCTTAACTGCTGCCAGTTTCTGTGGGAGTGGGCTGCCACCATTGCTATATCAACTCTAGTCCTATTGCAATTACTGTTGACGATGTAGTAGTTATGGGGGACTTCAATTTCCCTGATATCTCCTGGAAGACAAATTCTGCCAAACACAGTTCCTCCAGAAATTCCTAACATGTGTTGCTGAGAACTCCCCTCTACAGAAAGTAGAGGAAGGAACTAGAGGAATAGCTATCCTTGACCTGATTCTAACCAACAGGGAAGATAGATGTAGTGGACAAAGTAGTAATTATGGGAAATCAGGGGGAAAGTGCTCATTCCATACTCGAATTTTTTATTCAAGAGGAAGGAAAAGCCAAATGTAGCCAAACACGTACCCTGGATTTTAGGAAAGCAGGTTTCAATAAACACAGAATAATGGTAAGTAAAATCCCATGGCAAGTGACTCTAATGAGAAAAGGAGTCCAAGGTGGGTAGAAATTTTTTAAAAAGGAAATTCTAAAGGCACAATTACAAACAATTTCAACAAGTAAAAAAAGTAAAAGACAACAAGCCCATATGGCTTCACAAAAAGCTTAAAGAATATCAGAAAGCAAAAAAGGACAAGTATAGCGAGTGGAAGAATGGTCAGGCTACAAAGAGAGAATACAGGTAAGTAGCATGGGATTTCTGGGATTGTGTCAGGAATGCTAAAGACAGGAACTGAGGTTAGCAAGGGAAGCACTCAGTTCTTACTTTGGCTCAGCCTTCTCCCAGAGGAAGATCTACAACCTTCCTGATGCAGGAGTAGAATGGCAGTTTGAGGTTGATAGGCAAATGGTCAAATATCATCTAATTAAGCTGAATGAGTTCAAATCTCCAGAGCCTGACAAATTCCATCCTAGAGTAATAAGGGAGCAGGCAGAAGAACTCTCAGAATCACTGTTTATTATCTTTGAGAATACATGGGGGAATGGAGAAAGTGGCAGGTGACTGAAGAAGGGCAAATGTTGCCCCTATTTTCAAGAAATGAAAAAAGAAGAACCTGAGAACTACAGATTGGTCAGTCTGACATCAATCCCTGGAAAATTTGTCTGAATAAATCCTGCCCAAACCATCTGATCTCACTTTTTGATTGGGTAACCTTCCTAGTGGAATGTGGGAATGCTGTGGACACAATATATCTTGACTTCATCTAAGTGTTTGTCAAAGTGCTCCATGATATCCTGATTGGCAAACTAGCTAAAACTGGGCTAGATCAAACATATGCCAAGTGAATCCACACTTGGCTGCAGAATCAGACTCAAAGAATGCTCATCAATGGCACCTTCTCAAACTGGGGAGAAGTAACAAGTGGGGTATCACAGAGTTGAGTCCTGGACCCAATGCTCTTCAACATTTTAAATCATGATTTGGATAAGAAAGTGCAGGGAATGCTCATCAAATCTGCAGATGATACAAAATTGGATGAGATGTGTAATATCCTGGAAGACAGAAACAAGATGCAAGGTGATCGTGACAGGTTGGAGTGTTGGGTTGAAAACAACAGAATTAAATTTCAGTAGGGACAAATGCCAAGCTCTGTACCTAGGATAAAGAAATGAAATGCATCATTACAAGTTGATGGCTCAATAATACACGTACTGCAAGTGACAAGGATCTGGGAATTCTTGTGGATCACAAGCTGAATATGAGTTAACAATACAATGTAGCTGCAAAATGGGCAAATGCTATTTTGGGCTGCATTAATATAAGTATCACTTCCAAATCATGTGGAGAACTAGTTCCCCTCTACTCAGTACTGGTTAAAGTTCACCTGGACTACTGTGTCCAGTACTGGACACTATAATTTTAAAAAGATGCAGACAAGTTAGAAAGGGTTTAGAGGAGGATAACAAGAATAATCTAGTATCTGGAAAAAATGCCCTGTGAGGAGAGATTGAAAGAATTGGACATGTTTAGCTTTGAAAAGAGAAGACTGAGGGGAGATAAGATAGCATTCTTCAGAAAGGCTGTCAGAAAGAGGAAGGCCAAGATCTGTTCTCAATCATCCCAGAGTGCAAGACATGGAATAATGGTCTCAAGTTACAGGAAACCAGATTCTGGCTCAAAAAGTTTCCTGACTTTTCCTGTTGACAGTGGATCCAATTACCTTGGGAGTTGTGGGCTCTTCCACACTAGTGGTATTAAGCATGCAATTGCACAGCCAACTGAGAGGGATGGTTAACATGGAGTCCTGCATTGAGCAGGAGGTTGGACCTGATGGCCTTCTTGGCCCCTTCCAAGACTGCTGTTCTATAGAAATAGGTAGTTGGCACTTGAAGATAGTCTATTTTTACTTACATTAAATTAAGAAATGCATAGAACTGCCTGAAGGACAGATGCAACCACACTCTTTCCATCAGGATGGTGTGTGTGTGCAGGCACGCGTGCATGTTTCTCTTGCCTCCGTGGGGAAGCACTCTGATATAGGACCTGAACTGTGTGCTGCAACACTATTCTGAATTATGAAGGTATTGTTAAAAAGTTTCATGAAAACTCTGGAAGCCTGTGCATTGCCATTATTATTTAAATTCCAACATTAAGCATGTTTTAAACAATGTCATTTAAAGATTGCTATCGAACATAGTTAGCCACATGTATCAACATTATTGCAGAGACATAACACTTTTTTCTACCCTTCTTCCAGAGCTTTCACTGTGAACCCCCAACTGCATGCTGATAAAATATTACTTTGGTATGCACACATGCACTTGTCTGAAGTACCAGCTTGTAAAACCAAGTGAAACCCTAGGTAGGGTCTGAGCATCAGTGTATGTCTTAGCAGTTATACTTTCCCCAATGACTAGTTTAGGAGCAACTTTAAAATTCACATCAATTTGAAAAGTTTAACAGTAAAATAATGAAGTTGTTTTCCTATACATGCTCACCTGGGCTTAAGAAGTAAACAATTACACCGTATGCTTTATAAAGTTTCTCAAATTTAGCAGTGGGGGCAATCTTAGCCGTAAGATGGTTTGGATTCCTAGATCCAAGGTCAGGGAGAGTGCTATGACCTCAGAGCTAGGAAATGAAACTCAGAATTGGCACAGAAAGAACCATGTTAGTTACCCTCTGAGGTTGAAAACACAATTTTGGAAAGGGAAAGGGGGTGCTTGGGAAAGTGAGAAGGGCAGGTGATGGAGATGAAATGATACATTCTATTCTGATGTCTCCCCATCCCCCTTCCCTCACACTCTGAGATGGGCAAAAAAGCCTATCTGGCAAAGTGGAAGGCAGGGAGAGGAAGATTGTCTTTGCTGCTCCTCCTGCTCTGCACTGCATGACTGTAATTCAAGGCATCACAAGGCATGGCTGAGCTTAATTTACATTACTTTTAATATACACCATTACATATGCAGTTAATGTGTAATGGATATTTCTAGAATGAAACATTAAGAAAACATTTCACATATGGTTCATTTGGAGACATTTTCTACTTACTTTGATGGACTTACCCACAAGTAAGTGAGCTTCGTAAGCCTTGCCAAAATGCAAGCAAAATAAGTGCCTATAGTAAGCAATGATACAAAATATTGCCTTTTTCTTAATAACTGAAGAGGAATTAATACAGGTGCAGCATTGTTGAAGAGAATTTTCATGGTGTACATGACACTTTCACAATTTTAATTTTCTTCAAATATTTGGATTAAGAACACCTTTCAATTTCAGTTTTGTTATATCATCTTTGAAATAAGCTGCTCACCTATGCAAGCCTTTTATTTTTAATATCTAAACTACCATTTAATGAACCAGCTATGAAGTAGATTTTTTACCTGGTTGGATTCTGTTCCAGCAACACTAAGGTCTTGAATGGATCTGCGCCTCTGCTGTCCGTTGCCTGCTGGTGAGGAAGGGAAAAAAGCTGAAACACACTCAAACAAAATAAGAAGGGTGTGACCGTTGCAGAAAGAGCTTGGAATTTGTACAGATCCAGTGAGAGGGAGAGAAAGAGGGTGTTTGTATATGTGAAGGAGAGGGGAAAACAGAGAGACAGCTGCAAAGTTTTAAGGGGAAAAAAAACCGCTCTGCACACTGGCATGTCAACAGAAAGCATATCCTAATACAATAACCACTCCTATCCCATGAATAGCTTCTGCACTTTCCTTCACCATCTTCTGTCACATGTGTTTTAACTGGCTTAGAGATGGGGGGCTGGCACTGATGACGACATCTATTTCAAGGAGGTTACGTTATGGGGATTTCTAGAGCAAGTCTGCAAGATGCTGCCAGCTATCACACTTTTTTGGATTAGTCAATGAATGGAGTAATGGAGAGAACTGATCCCCAAAGGGTCTTTGTGCCTTATCTCTCTTAGGAAAAGCCAAGACCAATCTCTGTTCTGGTTACAATGCTATTAGTTTTTGATGTTGCTGAGAATCAGTTATACTTAGGCATCTCATTCTATAAAGACATTGCTCTTCAAGCCTGCCTCTTAGTTTAAAGGAATCTGACTAGAGCACCACATGCTACCAAATTTATTTATAAATTACAAGCCACTGATGGCTCTATAGAAATAAAACATATTGTTAATGACTGCAAGCTGAACAGAAGCAACGCTTTCCAAAAGGTTTTCCATCCTTTTGATATTCAGAATTTTCTACAAGCATTTTGGCATTTTAGTGGTTGCTGTTTTCTGAGATGAGAGATCAGCTGTCCAAAAGAAAACACTAACATGTTATGATTAACAGCTGACACAATACTTAGACTTCTTAAGTCTTTGAAGGTTGCATTATATAACTTTGAAAAAAACAACAACAAACTAGTAGTAACACTTGCAGCAAGCACTCCAGCTATAAGCACATGCATAAACATCCAGTGTCCTTCAGTTTAGCATGCGACTGCTTTTAATAAGAGTTACTGAATCCTACCCTACCTTTGCCAAGGTTGAAAGAAAGTCATCTAGGAACATTTCAGTGTAGGATGTTTCTAATTTGCAGATACATTAAATGGGATAAAAAAGAGAATGGAAATTCCAGCTGTGTATATATAAACATAGTTTTTGCTCAGCATCTTGTGTTGTATATAATTGTTGCATGAGCAGAAAGTAGCTAAGTCAACCAGTCCTTCCTTTTCCTTACAGGTCCAAGAGCAACTCCTGAACAGTGGGGAATGTGCTGCGCAGAACAATTATTCAAATGGCTCCCCAGAAGCTCTGTGGAGGATTTTTTGTAGGTATGCTGAGGAAGGAGAGGGAATGGAAGACAGATTAGCCGAATAAACTGTCCTCTGCTCATGTAACCACTGGATACAACCTGTTGTGTCTTTCCAAAAAGTATTTACTAGGGGCAGTTTTTATTTTTACATGTAAGATTTTGATTTATCAAGTATGCAAAATTTTAAAAAGGGATCCAACAAAGTGTTTCCATACCTGCTTGAAATTGGAAAGGGAATTATGCTCTGAGCCTTGATTTATGTATTTGTTAAATCTGTATCTTGACTTTCTATCAAGTGATGCTCAGGAAGTCTGATAACTGATATTGTGGCTTACAAAATGGTTCAGAATTTCTAGACCACTTCTGAAAAATACCAGTTGAAAATTATTGTGTGATACCCATGCTTAACTTCTTGATCAATTTGTAGAAATTTCAGAGTCTGTCATTTAAAGAAGGTATTAAGTGAAAACTGTTAAGTATGTTCACTAGGAAAAAAAAACTTAAGATGTAAAAAAAAATCAACTGGTCATTAATAGATTTACTCAGTTGGTCCTTAGCTCTAGGCAACTCAACATGGACCTCAGGATCCTTGACTGATATAACAATTACGTGCACATTTCATTCAATAGCTCTCATCTAAAATTAGCTCAGCTGAAATGAGCTTGTAAAAAAATATATGGAATACTCATTCTCCTTTCAGATTAGCAGCATTTATGAACCTAAAGAACCCAGCAGATGTGTTGCTGAAACATTATATCATGGTTGCCAAAAAGTTAAAATTAAAAGTCTGGGTGGGGTAAAATTAAAAATGGAGGAAAGCTGGGCTCAGCAGAGCAGAGGACACCAAACTGCTTTAAATGAGAAACATTCAGATAAGCAGTAAGACATTATAGCAAATTATTAGACAAAGGCTTTTTTGTTGCTATTAACTATTACAGCCATAAGGTGAGCACCAGAAGCACAGCCAAACAAGCAGGCTATCAATAAATACTCGTTGCTCCTTAAACCAGTCACAAAAACACAAGCTTCCAGCACTTTAAGCTGTAGCTCAACTCACTATACTTTTGAGAGTGATTTCTTAACCATCTTTTTATGCTACATTACACAAGGACATTTCTTACTGTGAAAATAATTTCTATTCAAGTTCAAATGATTATATAATTTAGGAGTGAGAGGTGAAGAGAGGTAGTTGCAAGGTATCAGAATCTACTGACACCTTGAACCTTTTGTATTATGCTACCAAACAGACAGACATACAAAAGACATTGTGTAAGAAGGGAAAGAAGACAAGTTACCTAACATACATAGGTGCTGACATAAATTTTGATTCAGCAGCTTGCTTACAATGCAAGTCACATATAACATTCTACCTCTGAAAAGTATATTATAGAGGGAGTAGTATCTGCAGGTCTGGCCATTTTTGTTAGGTAGGTAGAGTTAGATTTCAAAATATTGTGCTACAAAAAAGAATGGCCATCTGCTTTAGTTATTTTTCTTACTGTGAACACGATCCATGAAAACAGACTTCAGGAGACCATGAACAATGACAGGCTCAAAGAATGAAACAGGAACAATTCTTTTTTACATGTTGGAAATACCATCGGGCAATTTAGAGAATATCTAGAAGCACCTATGTCCCACTGATTTCAGTGCAGTTAATCTCATTCAAAAAACTTCAGTGTGTCTCGGGTTTGTAGAATTAAACTAAAAAAATATGAGAAACTAGATCTTGACAGAGATCAAAGTGTCTGCCACAAGACAATAAACAAAAAGACTCAACTGTATACAGTTATTGCTTATATTGTACCATTATAAAAGACAGAATGCATAAATTTCAAAAAATGAATACTATAAATCACCAACAGTAGATCACTCATAGACTATCAGTTTCAATTATGAGCCTAAATTAAATTCACACTAGTGATTGATGGCTCCTAAATCCATGGGAAGAAATCTTTGTCAGATTCCTGCTTGAATAAGCTGTAAGCATTAGTTTTCCCAAAATAGTTATGTAATGGGTTCGATCCTTCAAAGTGGCAGTGCTGTACATTTTAGAGAATTACTTCCTTTTTTAACTGCTTAATAACATACAACATCACATCAAAATAGAGGATGTCAGAATGGAAATTAATTTTCAACTTAGTTGATATAAACTATGTTGTTATATAAATTACAAGTTATCTGAAGATTTATCTTTTCTTCCCAAAGCCATGAAAAGAATGAATTTGCCCAGCATTGCTCTCAATGTATACCAGCTGTAACAATATATTTGAGGAAGCCATCCATCGTTTGCATGAACTTGATAAAGGCTCATAGTGCAAACTGACTTTTGACCATTGTTCTGTAGTTGGATTAATTTTCTTGTTGTTGATATTTTGTAAATTCATTGATGTGAGCCGCCCCGAGGCTTCGGCGAATGGGGCGGCATAAAAATGTTTTAATAAATAAATAATAAATAAATAAATTCAGTCTTTTTATATTAGCACAATCTAAATAGTAACAGAATATAATTGGGTCTCTTTATTTGTTGTGTGGATTACACTAAACAGGAAAAGCTGGTGCCAAGTGGTAGTCAATCACCAATAACAGGAGCAAGAAGTACTTAAAGATTTGATCATTATTCCAGCATCAGTGTCAATAGATTCACACAGCTGGTATATGATACCTGGTTTGATGATCTCTGGGACATCCAGAATGTTGCCAAATGAAGCAGTTTTACGATGGCCGGGTTTAGGTTTGGAAAAGGCTGAAAAAACACATACACACAAACAATACACATGCAAACGACTAGAAATGGTAACACAAATCATTCAGACTAAAACTGCACTTTTAACTTAATTTGGTTAAACTGGAATGCATGCAAAACAGGTCATGCTGAATGAACTGCATAGCTTTCCATTCATGCTTAAAACTGTAAAGCATTTGTTAAAAGCAAAATACATAACTAGGGTCAACAATGTAACACAGCACAACATTATTAGTTAGAGTTAGGAACATAAAATTCAAACAAAAAACTAGAATGCCAATGGAAAACAAAACAAAACAAAGTCTATGCTACACGACAGGCTAAACTGTCCGCTAGCTCCACTTCACTTGTAGGTTAACAAAATGTATATCTTATTGCTACAATTCAAATGTTCTCTAAAATAAATATTTAAAGTTTTATGTACAGTTTGTGGTTTTTTATGAATTATTCAAGGCATAAAATACTGTGATTTATTCACTCCAGCATGTCAGTCATTTCTGAATTGGAATCGAATTTCTGTTATTATTGTGAAAGATAGAAACAACCAACCAAGCAACCCCTACTCTATTCAGCACAGAGTCACAAAAATTAAGAGATTAAAATGACAAGATGACAATTATTTGCTGACAATGAAGTTCATAATGTAAAGTTTGGAAATTAAATAGATGTTAATGTTACCAGTTAATGTAAAACAAAAGGATGATTATAATGATTATGTTGATGGTAGTATAATGGTTCAACAAGTTAAGTTAAAAACTCCCAATCAGGAACAGATTTGTGAATTATCCTACCACATGTAGCTATTCTATAAGATTCCAATCAATATGGTGGTTGCAAATCCACCCTTACTCTATGGGAGTTGCTTTATGCAATCTCAATGGAAGCTGCTAAAGTAATCATTTTTAGGTTAGGCTGTGGCATTGTCACAGTGGATCTCTGCAAGTGTAACATTCTGTTTAAGGATTTAAGATCTATCACTTCAGCAACTTTGTTTCAAAGACTACTGTCAACTGTATATGAGCACACAAGCCCTCGGTGCTTTTCCCACTGGTCTTCTAATATATAATATCTGTCCTTAAACTATTTCATTTATTCTAAGCATGGGAGCTTTCGATTTACTCAGCAGCAGAATCTGAGCATGCTGTTCTCTAAACAAGTGGTATTCAAGAAATTAGTCTCCTGTTACCTTTAAACAAATATAATTAAAAGATCACTCATCTTGAAATTACTTGTTGATATGTTATTTGTTTGTGTATCTGACATTTTCAAATTAGTCTTTCTTAAATCAGAACAGGGAACAGATACCCATATCCAATCTTAAGAATAACGTATTGCCTCTCATCTTTCTCTATAAATATCCTCAATGTCACAAAGCTAATCTTCTGTAAAAACAAGTAAGAAACCAGAATTGGTTCTTGGGTAGGATCCAATAGTGTTGCAGAGTTAGCAGTGATTTCTACCAGCACAATGTCATAATCTTTAGCACCGTTGGACCCTATACCCAGCATGTTTATTTACTGCATGTCTTCCTGTGAAAGGCCACACTTTTATACTTCATGAATGTAGCTGAAGTGTGATTGAAAAAGTAATTTTAGTTAACGGCTGTATATGAAGATATACTACATTTTACATGAATAATTTTTGGCTTAGTTTAAAAAATGGCATTCACACACATTTTATTATTCATCTGCATGTTTTGGCAGTGTCTCAACAGAAATAAGCTACGGAAATAGGCTGCCTGATAAATAAGATGTTTACTGACTCAGAGTATATTAATAAGGTCCAAATATGAAAAATTCATATCTTAAAGAAGGCATCACCTACAATATACAGATTGATGAAACGGCGTTATGTAAGCCGTCCTGAGGCTCTGCAAAAGGACTACATATAAATATCTAAATAAATAAATAAATATTGTTTTAATAACTCAAGATAATAAATTATGGAAACAAAAATAGGTTATTCCTCTACAGATGGCTAGGCATATAGTATTTAAAAGAATTATATGGAGATCTAAGCTATTGTACTCTGATGGCTCTGACAGCTAAGGAAGGATTTCAATGTGGGTATGGTTGTGTGTGTATAATTTTTATACCACCTAATAGCCAAAGCTTTCTGGGTGGTAAACAATAATAAATGTAAAATGAACAAGTTATCTTCTAAGCAGAAAAATATTGGTTTGGATGCAGAATCCATCTCCTAAAGATGGAATTATTCCTTCAGTCCACAAGAGGCTTCTGATAGAGTGCAAGAATCCTGTTAATAGAATAGAAGTAATCACAATCTTTATTGATTCTCTGTCCTCCAGTAGATTCTAACCTCCCGATCTGGCAATCTGCTCCAGAGAGTTAGAGAACCCTCTAGAACAGTGGGACAGGTGATACCAAATGCTGCAGCGGGCAGAGGAATTTTCTTGCCATCTGCATCAACAAAGGCATGCTAAATAGAGCTCCACTGTTCCGAATAGTGAAAAAAGAAGCTGTATTCAACCCATAGTATTTGCATGTCAGAAAAAAATGCAATTTTATGTATGCCAATTGTATGACTTTAGCAAGAAAGAAAATAGGAGGACTCCCCAGAACATGGTGGGGAATAGGAAAAAGTGGTATATCCATTTTGACACTTTTTTCTGCCTCCACACAACAGTGTTGTCAAGTGCTCTAGTTACCCTTCTTGGCTCTGCTGTATGAGAGACATACAGATTTTGTAAAATCTGTTTATCCATTTGTACTTTGTGGATTGTCAGATGTTTTTCATTTTGCCAGCTGCTCATTGACAGAATCATTTCAAATGAGAATTTTGTTCCTTCTTTGCACTTGCACAAGTGTGCATTTGTACAAATCCCCTCAAAACTAAGTAAAAAACAAAAAACTAACTACAACAGTCTGCATGTCTGTCCTTCAGAAAAAGCTGGCCCACTGTAGAATCTGCACATTTGATTCACAGAAATCTTCACTCATTCAAATCTGTTGCAGATTTCTCCAACACCTTTAGCTTTAATCATATCTCACAGCTAAGGGGCCCTGTTTGGAAGTCCATCTACTATGAGCAGCTGGGAGAAAGCCTTCCAAGCTAAGCCACGAGACTTACTCCCCTTTGCTTCCACACTCTCAGAGAAGTACAGTGCTTTCCATCTTTACCTACTTTTTCAGAATGAATGCAGCTTTCTATCATGCTTCTGAATTCTCTGGATTGTGGCCACTGAAACTGCAACTAGCGTCCTTCATATAATTAATTACATTAGTAATTAATTATAAAAACAAACAAACATGAAACTAGTTCCATTAGTTTAAACAAAGCAAAAATTAGCTGGAATGGTCTACAACCATATTTTATTTCACCATTATTAAAAACATTAACTGTATACCAATTTCTTCTTCTAAATGGGTTTGCATAGGAAAAATCCCACGACTTTTCAATTAACTAGGCATTTTTAAAAGTGTAAAACTGGCTTCAATTTCAAGCACACAAAAGAAAATGCTCAGTTCCAAACATGCCAGTGAGTATTTGGATGTGAGGAAAATAACTGCCTTTAATAGCTTTAATCAGAAACATATCTAAAGATAATCCAAGCTGAGAGCAAAGTTAATTGCACTGATCAGAGTAAAGCAACTAATATTTGTAAACAGATGGCAGTGTGATAGAATGAGTGCAAGGCTGCTTGTACAACCAGTCTTTCCTGCTCCCAGCAGTCCCTTTTGTTTCCTGAAATGCTGCTCTGCAGTCTGGGCCCTCCTAAATAGCACTGACTGCTGGATGGTGGCACCTTGTGCAAATCAACCTCTACTGGTGCAAGATGCCTGCACCTAATTTTGAATAATTTCTTTCTCCCACTGCAGCCTCCTAGAATACAACCAATGCTGGTCATTAGGGCTCCTTTCTTCTTTGAAGGTAGGCAGTCTTTGGTAGATTCAGAGGTAAATGTTTAGTTGTGGCAGCAGCCTTTCACATCTGCAATAATATGATCCCACCAAATGTGATTTTTTTAAAAGGAAACTTAACAATGGACCCATATATGGTTTTCTTTATGTTCAGTTTCTTATTTTTCTCAATCGCCTTCATGTTTAGTTTTTATTCTTATTATTTTATCAGTATTTTATTCTTATTATTTTTAACAATATTTTTACCTGGAGCAGCAGCAATTCTTGCTTCAATTTCAGACATATCAGCACTCATTCGTTTGCTTTCTCCTGAAACAAGAGTTGATTGTGGTCTTCCACGAACTTCTGACAAGCTCTCCACGCTGCTACCACGGGATGGAGGTAGACTTAAATGGCCGGGCTCTCCCTGTAGAAATGTGACTGATTTACAAGCATTCAAAAACTAATTTGGGAAATGAGTGAGCAAACAAAAGTGTATACAGAAGATAAATTTCCAAGGGTCATTAAAAAAAAATAAAGCTCTTAAAATGACAAAACCCTAAATGACGAGAAAGCTAATGTGGTGCAGTAGTAGAGTGTTGGACTGGTATGTGGGAGATCTAGGTTCCGAGTCCTGTCCAACAGTGAAGCTTAGTTGAAAATTCTGAGCAATTCACTGACTTGCTATTGGGGAGAGATCAGAAGCCTGACCCACCATGAGAAAAATACTTGGAAAATCAGATCTGATAAATGTGTATTTATCATTTGAAAATTTAACATTTCGTACTCCTGCGAGTCATTTGGACTTCAAGGCGATCAAACCGGTCAGTCCTAGAGAAGATCAACCCTGACTGCTCTTTAGAAGGCCAGATACTGAAGATGAAACTCAAATACTGTGGCCACCTAATGAGAAGGAAGGACTCCCTGGAGAAGAGCCTAATGCTGGGAACAATAGATGGCAAAAGAAGAAGGGGGCGGCAGAGGATGAGGTGGCTGGATGGAGTCTCTGAAGCAGTTGGAGTGAGCTTAAGTGGACTCTGGGGGATGGTGAAGGACAGGAAGGCCTGGGGGAATGTTGTCTATGGGTCGCAATGGGTTGGACACGACTTCGCGGCTAACAACAACAGTCACAAAACTGGGTATTTTCAAACTAGGGATTTTTAACTGATATTTACTATGAATACATGAAAAATACACACAACAAATTGAGAACAATAGAAGACAGAAATATGTTACTGTCCTGATTCTAAGTACATCTAATATGAGTTTGCTTAAAATATTAATGCTACAGACTTACTGGCTGCTTTGCTGCACTTTTCTTCTGCTGGGCAAGTTTTGTTTCCAAGCGTTTAATAGTGTCATTGGTAGCAGTTCCTTGAAAGTCATTTGGTTCCATGTTGACATCACTTTTGTTACTGGTATTTGTGGAAGTCATGTCCATGAATGAACCTATAAATATTAAGCATATTTTGCTTTAGCTGAGGTCATTTTTGACTATAAAATTTCTTCTTCCTTTCCTCATGTTGCATCTTATTACTTATTTAGAAAAATATTAGCTAGACTGCAATAGTGCAGTTTGATATTTGCTAGAGTAGCAGATTCCTCTCAGCATGGGAAATCATGTTCAATTTCTTAATATAATAAATCACTAGTAAAAGCTCTTTCTTTGGAAACATGAGAAGCAATTTTGATTATGGATACCAGGTGTCACAAATCCTTCTGTCTTTAGGAGGTTTGTTGTGAAGGTTTTAGATGAAACTGTGGTTTCAGAATAGCACAATTCAGGAAACTAGCAGCCTCTTGAATATTGTTTCTTAGCAGTATCTACATGAGATATTTGTGCATAGAATTAAATTTCATGGGAAATAAATTCAAACAGGGAGCTAGTTTCCAGGTAATTCATCCACACATTACTTGCTAAAGTGTTTCATAACTTTCAGTGGAAAGGATTTTTAGATTACAGAAATTATTTCACAGCCAACCAACCACAGGCAGTTCCTATGTTATGAACATTGAGTTACAAACAACCCATACTTATAAATGAACTGCCACAAAGCCTATTAATTAAAAAAAAAAAACTACTGTAGGAAATCGTTGTTGCCATAGAGACAGAGGAGGTGAAAGGGAAGAAAGGGAGGGCCTCCAAAGCACCATACAGAGAGAGAAGTGACAGGGTAGTGAAGGACGTCTCCAAAATAGTCTTTCCTGCCCCACCCATACAGAGAGGGAAATCTTTCTAGCATTTTCTTGCAGCAAAGAGGAGGCACTGGTGAGTTTGGGCATGGGGTGGTGGCTAGAGATATTTGCAGTTTTTCCACTTTCACAGGGGTCTTCTGCCCTTAATCCCTGTGAATGTGGAAGGCCGACTAAATGTGATTCAAATTACATGCACATTTCAATTAAAGACACATTTCTATTTTCTCAGGAATGGAACTCTTTCATAACTCAGGGATAGAAAAGACAACTCAATGATTTGGTTTGCAGGTAGTGACAAACTAGAATATAGGTTGAATATGGGTTCTTGTTGAATTGTGGATTGTTGTTGCATGTGACTTCTGCACTATAGTTTAATTATGGGATGATAACAGCAAGTAAGAGAACTATGGCTCATTGCTGAGTCATGGACTCTGGGTTTTTGTGCTTATTGACCTATAGGCAAATCATAGTACAGACTCTGCATATAACAACAAACCATGATTTAAAAGCTATGATTGATGTCATATTCAACACAAACAATGAGTTCTTCTTAGATGCAAACCAGGCCATATTATGCTGCATGATTTAACTACAGATTTATTACTACTTCCCAAATTTCTAAACCTTTGTCTTCTGTAAGGCACGAGGAGCAAGACTGACTTTCTACAGGAAAGGCCTGTAGCTTAATGCAAGAGCACATGTTTTGGATGCAAAAAGTTCCAAGTTAAAATTTCCAGCATCTCCAAGTGGAGCTCAGGAAAAGTCATTATTGGAAATCCTATAAAAGCTTATGCCAGTCAGCGTAGACAACAATGAGCTAAACATACCAGTGGACTTAGTATAAGGTACCTTACTATTCTTATACAAATTGATGGTTGCACATTTATTCGCAGGGATGCTTATTTCCAAGGCTATTTTCCAACTGCCATAATAGTGTCCATCTATTCTACTGCCATTACAGCACTGTAGATAGTGATGCAATGCCAGAGCAGTGGTTGTAGGCTATGTCTATGTAATTTATTTGCTCTGACAAAATGCCTTGGATGCAGACACTAGTGTTCTTAAGTGGAATTCTGCTCAGAATGTCCCTGCTGATGGAGTGTGTGTGAGGGTGTTCTCTGATTTTCCCTCCCTCTGCAGTGCCCAGCACCGCCTCCCCTACTGTTGCAGAGGGCATCTAACTTTCTCGAATAGGTTTCTGAGGCACAGAGATAACTGGAGGGGGAAGTGAGAACTGATGGAAGAGCACATTTCCTGTTCAGTCAGTGGAAAGGCTCAGCCAGATCAGAGGTCTCCATGAGACAACGGTTCTCCCACCTGAAGGAAAGCTTTTGTTGGATCTAACCAATGACCAACAGGACTGGCCCTAAAGTGAGTGTGTTTTTTAATTTCTCATCAAGATCACATTATAACTAACTTCTTACTCTACCCACCTGTACTAGTGGCAGAATTGCTTTGGCCTTCATCAGAATATTGACAAGGATACTGCAGAGGTTCATCAGCTCTTGGAAAATACTGCAAAAAGATAAAGGAGATCTTAATGATGAATAAATCAATTGCACTTTTTATTCATGACAATCTGCCAGAGAAAGGAGTGGTATTGGATGCAAGGCTTTGCCGGAGGCTATTAAGGTTCAGCAGGTAGTGTAGTGAACTTTCTCAATGTTCAAAAGCCAGAATAGTTTCTTGAAGCTTAGACCTTATGGCCTTCAGCTTGAGCATAAGAGTTGCCTATCCCAATCATTCTATAGATAAGTGCTACTTTTGCTGTGAGAATCAAATTGTTTACCTTACTGCAGCAGCTTTCCCCTTCCCATCTATCTGGAAGAGGGAGGGGGGGAATAGGGTCTATGACAGGGAGAAAGAACTTTATACAATTGCAGTATAATACTGCAATATATACAATTGCAGTATTATACAATTGTCCTATTGCAGTAATTCAAGAACCACTACCCCCGTCTAGAAATTGGTTTTATATTCAGTGTGTTTCTCAAAGCAAATCAGCTGTTTGCTGGCATACTCCAAGTCATGTCAAAGGAGAGAAGAGGAGAATCACATGACTGGAGACTCATACCTATAGTGCTAGCCTGTGGGTTAATATTTATGTGCAAAATAGGCACTGATCTAATAGTAAGCATGTTTGTGGGGGAAGCAATAAGAAAATGATATTCTTTTATTTTAAAGTGAAGAAAGTAATCAAAGCAGTTATGATTCCGTTTACTTATACTTCATGGTAATGAAAGTGGAAGGGAATAATGGTTCTGAAAAACTCAATTGTTAAAAAGTACCAACTATCTAGTCAAAAAGTATAAAAATGTACAGGCAATTACCTCAAGTCAGTGATTTCTTATGGGCTGGATGTTCCAATAAAGTAAAGTGAATGCCATGGCAACTACTCTTTCATCTACAATTTTCTTCACCTTATTATTTCTATACTCTCTCTTTTCCACATTTTCCACAAGCCATTCTTTTCAGTATATTACTGCAATATCCAAGTTTTAAACTATTATACCTGCATTAAATGTGTCATTATTTTGACAATTTCCTCCATGGAAGGTCGTTGTGAGGGATCTTTAGACCAACAGCGAGTCATTAAGCTTTCAATAGGCTTTGGTAAATTTTTTATCAGTGGTGGTCGAGTACCTATAAATAGACCATTAAATAGAATAAATACATTCATTCTCGCTCTCCCCCACAGCTCCATATATGTACACTGTAGTTTTAAGTATTATGCACACTTTTCAAGCTTAATAATCCAGCTTTGGTTGCACTGAAATATCCTTGATTATTTAGGAAAATAAATTAAACATACTGTTACTATCCTCCCCCCCCCAAAAAAAAACCAAAAACAGGAACATTGTAGCCCTTCTTCGATTTTTTTCACTTTCTTATTGAAATCTTTCCCAGAAATAAATGCAGGGATTTAGTTTACTCTTTCAGTAAGATGTTTGTTGCAGAAGTATGGCAAGTGGAAGACAAAACTGAGAATGGGTTTTGTCTTTAAAGGAAGGAACTTTAAAGGAAGAAAATGCTATGTATTTCAAAATTTTAACAGGGAAATTTTACCTGTGCATTTACAGTTATAAATTATTCAAGCATTCTTGTAAAATATTCAGACCTATACAGGCATGACATATCTCTATAGGCATACAGAGGTAGGTAGCAACCCTTAAGGAAGGCATGACAGTGTTACTGCTAGACCCTAACAGTACAATCCTATACACATCTTTTGAGGAAGCTTTAATAGGACTTAAGAAGGAATTTAAAAGGACTAAATGTTACTATAGCATCGCAATCCAAAATGTAAACATGTTTAAAGAACTAGTCTGTCTGGGTAAAAAATAACAAAACAAAAACACCCCCCCCCCGCAAATGCAAACAAACTTATCCTGTTGAAATACAAAATATTATTTAGGCATAAAAGTATTCCTGAGCAAATAATATGTCATAAATGTTGAAGAAGGTTGACTAATTTGGACAAATAAAAATATCAGCTTTTAAAACATGAAGCATTATTAAAAGCTACAGACATATGATCATCCCTATATTAGTTGAAGGACAGGCCAAACTGGAATGGATAATTAAGAAGCTGCATGTCTAATTAAGGAGTTGTTCTACTCAAGCAGAAAGCATGCAGGAAAGCAAACTTGCAGGGAGAAAAAAAAGGGAAATGGTTTTGCATTATTCACCCAAATTTCCCTTTTGCTTTTTTAAAAATCAGACTCTATCTTCCATCTTCTGCATGACTGACTGCAGATCAGTGGCATTTTAAGACACAAATTTGCCATTGGCACTGGGTTTCATCAGCACATATGCCATCAAAGTAGTGCAGTGCGCTATAGTAAACATACACACATGTGTACACAGACAAACATTTCAGAAATGCTAGTTGTTGGTTATTCATTCTGCTTCCATAAAACATTAACTTACCATTGTGAACTGCCCACATGATTCGAAAAGCAGGACCACCAATCTCATCAAAAGGTTTTCTACGGGTAATCACTTCCCAAAGAATAATACCCCAACTGAATACATCACATTTTTCACTGTAGTTGCTACCTGAAAAAAGGTCATTTATATAATTTCTGTCCTTTTAAAAAACAGCTGCAGTATATTCTCTGCATGTTAGCAACAAAACCAATTACGTTTATGGAACAAAGTTTATTGGAGCACGGAGGGATGAAGGGCTGCTCTAACTAATCCACCTTCCTTAGCACATGGTCAATATTACATATGATGCATGTGACAACCAATGATATGTGCAGCTATCTTGATAACGATGGACACCAATTCATTTTAGTCTTCAGCCAACCATGGGATGTGATCCATGGCATTCTTATATAAAGTTCATATGTAGAACTCTATATTCTCATAAGGTGACTGATGTCACCAATAGAACCACATAAAGCAATAATAGAATGAGAGAAGTGGGAAACCTCTTTCAGCTTAAGGGTTGAATTCAAATTTGAGGAAGTTCTCAAAGGTCGCATTCCGGTGGTGGATGGAGATGATATAAGGATGAGGCCAAAAACACAAAAAATACCAGCATATTGAACCTTAAAGCTCTCATTACCAGTAATTAAGTCTTAGGAGCAGCATTCCAAAGTTTTAGAATGGGCAAATAAATATGCAAAAGCTAAGAAACCATCACATGATCAGTAATCAGTAGAAAGCAGACGGAGAGCCCCTCAAGAACTGGACTGGGATCCTAAGGCAATCAGATCTGGCTGCTGGGCCTAGCTTCCTCACCCCTGCTTTTGAATCTCTTAGATTATCTTACTACAAATGCTGAAAGTTTTCTGAATAAGAGGTTGTTTTCAACAGACTTTAGAAGTTAAAATAAATATCATTTGGAGGATGACATGGCAAGCATGCTACAACCGCACATGAGAACACTTTCACTGTCTACTGCCTGTATATATAATCTCACTAGTATGCATTCCAGCATCACAAAAGGATACCTCAATAGTTTTCACAAAGGCAACATTCCAATTCAATCACTGCAGCTCTAAGTGTAAATACAGATTATGACAGAAGCCGATATATTACCCTGGAGACAGGCGATACCTTTTCAGCTATATAATTTAAATTGGGCTCATTAAGCTGTGAATATTTTTACCAGTCTAATATTTTGGAAGTTTATTGCTTAGGCCATGTAAAATTATAACAGATTATGATCCCAGGCTATTAACAATGATTTTTAAAAGGGCTCTTTCTGCATTCTTCCCACTACTACCCAATAAACAACATTTATATTCAAATGGGAAGATTACATCTGCTTTTCCATGACACAATTTAGTATAAAAAAGAACAAATTATAATGGATGTGAAACTATGAAAAATACTAATTGTTTCACATTTCTTTATTACCTTCAAAAACTTCTGGTGCCATCCATGCAGCACTTCCCTTATTGTTGGTCATGTGTGTCTGAATATCACAGGCTGTACCAAAATCACAGATTTTTAAAACTGTCCCCCCAGCCACCAAGAGCAAGCTGTCAAACAAACAGAATATTTCAGTAGGCTTATAATTATAGAAGTTATTACACCAATAATGCAATCCTATGTATGTTTAGAAATAAAAAGTCAGAGGATCATGAAAGATAGAGTGGTTTTTTGCTAAGCTTGTAAAAGATTGCATCCTAAAATATATTTTAAAAGTTAAAGACAACCTAAGATCATTTAGTCATGCTAGTTGCAACTCTAAATACACATGAATTCTACTAAGTGGAAATATCTTTTTAAGTAACCTCTGCACCGCAACAACTTTGAGCAAATTACCCTTCATCGTTATTTGCACTAGCAGAATGCCATGCATTGTGATGTACAATATGCATTGCAAGAAAGTCTATTAAGAAAACACAGAGAACTACACTGTGCCCAGGTTCATGAGTCACAATAAGCAATACAGCACAGTTTCCACCATGTGCATTTTTGTGCATGGATCTGCCTGAAAAATGATCAGACTCATCATGGTAACTCTCCTCCCATCCAGAGTTTTCTACTCAGTCTTCCTGGTGGTATCTCAGGAGACACTGTGCAGAGGAACGAGGGTCCTTGCTTTGAAAGACAGGATCACAAACCAAGTTTGGCTCACTGTGGCTGTTAAGTAATCTCTGGTGCACAGAAAGGGTTCCTGCTCTGAAGCACAGCAGACAAGATGAGGGAGCTGCTGAGGCACTCAGGCCTCTTGCTCCAGAGGGAAACACTTCTGATTGACCAATCTCAGGCAAGAGGGGTGGGGGGGATCAGCTTGGCAGTGCTGCAAAAAACAGATGTGTGGCACTGGGATGCTCTGCAGCATTCTGCCCCAGCCAGGCACTACTACCCAGCGGATTCGCACCACGCCTGCTTGTGCAGGAGTGGCGGCAGGGAAATCAATGGATCAGTGCTGCTCTTCTTACAGTGCTGACCAACTGATCACCTGCTGCTGTCCAGATAAGACTTTTAGGGCAGGAGAGAGAATGACTGGGGACAGTTATCAGTGGCAGCTATCTGGTTTGCTGCTTGGCAAGAGCAGCAACGGACCATTTTTGCCAAACAGCTTTATAGTTCTAGCCTTGGTACTATGCTGAGTTGCATTTCCCCATTCACATGGAAAGTCAACTAAGCCACCAAGAAACCACAGACAAACCATTGTTTTTGCTTGCAATTTCTCAAAAACAAGCTCACTATGCTGAACTTCCATGATGGGGCTTGCATGACACGAGAGACCAAACTTGCTTCTTGTATTATGTGAACTTGCTCTGTGTCTGTCAGTGAAAGCCAGGTCACTCACTGCTAGAAGAGACAGTGACCACAGCATGGGCACTAAGTGTGGCATTCCCCACCCTTGGTCCAAACACAGTATGAATGGACGCCACATGTTTATTGGAGAAAGCAAATGGTGAACTGGGCCACCTTTCAGTGATGTTAATTCTACTCCCTGTGCACTATCTGGAGGGACCAGGTTTTGTTTCTCTTCTACTCCACAGATTTGCAGATCAGAGTTTTATGGTGGCTTATATATCTTAATAGTCAATGGGAACAAAGCCTGCTTCATGTGTGTTATCACATTTTTGATTACATTAGTACACTACAAAAAGACATAACTGAAGCTCTGACATATGCATGTTATCCCTGAACAGCTAACTTTTCCCTGATAGCTACTAAGATTACTATGAATGACATATGGTACGTCTATAGTACATACTATGAATGACATACTATGAATGACATATAGTATGTCTAGACCAATAATGATTTTGAAACAACAAATACTTTGTTCCACATCTGTATTTTAGTTTTTAACAGTTTTAATAGCTACTCCCCCAAGGAAAAAACTTGGCCAATCAAGACTGGGATATGTCCTGGTGTATATAGCAACTCAGAGTTGCTATCTATCTTTTTAAAGTGTTTGCCAAGAGACCTGGCTCCAGGCCTGTTTGGAAGAAACTAAGCAGCATGGAACACCGCAGAATTATGGGATATTCAATGTCATCTATGCCATCTTTGGAAAGTGTGCCAGGTCATCTGGTAAATTTTGTTTTTCCTTGATGCTAACATTTTACCCATGTCTTTGATAGTTTGGCTGCTAACAACTGTTGCTGTTCAGCCTCTATGTGGCCAGCTGAAGCCAGTCCAGTTCAGATGGAACACTGGAATTTGACTTAGCAGATTTGGCCAAATACAGTCTCCACAGACAACCCACACAAACCTCCAGAAAGTCTGAAAACCACGGGTCCATGGCCAAAATGGACCTATGAGCCCCAGCTGTGCCTTAAGCAACCTCACCATGAACTTTGGGAAGTAAGGGAATGGGAAGAATATAGTAGCTGTTAGACTAGGACACAGGCATCACACAGACCACCTCTACTTGTGGATCTTGATACCTGGAAACATATCTCTGTTGAGAGTGACATCAGGTGCTCTCTACCACCTAAATCAAACATAGGTTCTTCCCCTGTAGAGCCCTGAAAAGCGAACTATTTTGATCATTTATATATATTCTTCTTGCTATGTTGTCTGCATGTAGCCAAATGTTCCTGTATAAGATGAAGACACAGAAACTTGAAGAGCTGGGCAAACTGCTCTGAGTTCTAGCCAACTGATTGGCTGATGAGTTTTGTACTCCAACCAGGTCCCCTAAAATATCTGCCCCTAACAATGAGCCCCCCAGCCCTCCAGGATGGCATGCGTGGTAACCTTAACTTAAATTGGTTGCTTTATTGGCACTGGCCTGGAGAACTGTTGAGGGTCAAACCAGCAAGAGAAGAACCAGGTCATCCAGTACAATAAGGACAGATGTGTTCTTTATGGGCAAGCTGGACCTGGTTGGTTAGCAGAGCTACTGCAGGGGACAGTAGTAGAAGAAATTGGCCAAGGCACATAGTTAATGGAGGCCATTATATACCTCTGAAGTTATGCCAGATCCATCAGTGGTGACTTCTTCCATTTCAGGATGTACCAGAAAGGAACACTTTTTTTACTGATACGTCTGTTATCATCCTCCTTAGTTCTGTATTCTCTGACTGACTTCAACAACTTTCAGTTCCGTTGATAAGGAAACCATGCTCCTCAAGACATGAAACAATAATTGGTATGTGGGACAGTGCCTGCCTCATAATTGGTGCTCTGATCTAATAATGATATCTGTGAATCTACAGAGTGTGGAGGTGACTCATCAGAGCCACTAAGACCTTGGTGAATATCTGAGGAGTTAAACCAAAAAGAAGCACAGGTGAACTTGATCCAGGCCATATGCAAAGTGTAGGAAGCACTGAGGCAGCTTCCTCATTGAGATGCAGAGATAAGATTCCTAAGTTCTAAGAGGCCAGAAGATTCCCAGAAAGAATCAACTCTTTTGTCAGTCTCAGGGTCTGCATCTTGAACTCTTTCTTCTAATAAACTTGTTGAGGAAATTAAAGTCTAGAATAGCTCTTCCAGCCCTATTCCTTTTGAGGACTGTGAAGAAGATGAAGAATACACCTGGAGTTGAGCAGGAAGATACTGCAGGTTTACTGATCATAGGGGAAATATCCTGTTTAAACAAACTTTGTTATGTAGATGTGAAGATCAGGTCAGAATTCAGTTCTCTTGCACTCACTTCTTTCCTGCACTTGGCCCTGGCCTGGAAGCGACCTGAGCTGAAATCAAGCCTACAAATGCTTGGAAATGCTACTGGCTTCTCTATGCAAAGTACTCAATTGTTTGGGCAAAGCACACCAAGTCTGTACATGTTCGGAAATAGAACTCTGCTTGCACAGGTGTGCAGGAGGCATGTATGCAAGCCAGCTTCATGGACTCACTTCCTGCCAGATGTCCTTACAAACACTCAGTGTAAAGTGGACTTTGAACAGAAAAAGAGAGGGCCAGAGTCTGGGGAGCCAAGCAGAGGAAATACAATGGATTCCTAGTCCCAAACTAGATTCCTCACACATCACTAGGGATGGTATTGATCTGCTCGGACAATTCCCCTCCTCTGTGTCTTATCATCCCAGGAAATGCTCACATAACCCCTATGCTTTGAGTGGACCTCTGAAACTGATGAAGAACAGGAGGATGAACATGATGATTCACTGGATGCAGAGGAGGGGAACCTTCTCTGTATTCTGAAATGGTGCCTTTTATGTTTGCTATCACTGTGTTCCCCGTACCACCACCACATGAAATGCTCACTGTTGATACAGTATTCCCACTATTTCCCCTGCAAAGGCATCACTGTCCTGCTTTTTCACAGAGAGGAAGTAACCCTTTATTTTCAGTTCCATCTTCCACTGACTAGGATGAAGCAACCTTGCAAGAAAATTAGTCTTATAAGAAGATCTGATTAACATATTTTTCCTCGCTACTGCCAATCAGAGGCCAAAGTAAAGAACTGAGCATGACAGAAAGACTTTCTTTATAACTAGAAATATTTTATTTAAAAATAATAATTCCATCACCCAGTTCTAATAAATCAAGATATTCTCAAAATTAATACCTGTTGTGCAGAGACATGCTTTATATATCACTAGTGGTAGTGCTGAATAGATTCTTGCTAATGAAAAGCACCATATTATTAGTATAAAATTGAGACAGCTTACATCGTATCTAGAATTGGCTACTATAAATCACAATCTCCATTAGGATTAGTAGAAAGCAAGCTGCAAGGTCTCCCAAATAAAGCTTAGAGAATTCCTAAAACACCTACTTGGGTGGCTTTAGGTCCCTGTGAATGAGAGCCTTTGGTTTCATGCTGTGAAGATAGGCCACTCCCTGGGAACACTGTAAACACCAACTCATTGCGTGTGCAGCAGTGTAGTAAGGCAGAGGCTCAGCACCATGTAGGACTAGAAAAAAAAATACAAACTGAAAAAGAACTTTATTGCAAATTACAGTACATACAACATGGGAACACTACTACTGTGAACATCGTGTGAACTACAGAGCAGAAAGTGTTCTTTTTCCCCAGTCTGTCTAATTTTGTAAGCCATCCTGGGACATTTTCTTGTGTAGAATGGGATATAAATGTTTTAAACAAAGTAATAAATAAATAAAGGGATACTTGTGAAGTCAACTGGGAATAATGTATATGTCCATGTGAGGCCAAATAAACTGTAGTCCAAGTAGCTAAACTGTTCTGAGGTGTGGCTTGTTTTCAGCAGCACTGGATACAAATTGTTTTACCACTTTATTTAAGAACTACACTACTAAAAAAATTGTTTCAGCACTGGAGTAACTGTTCATAGAACGAAACAGAATCATCAACAGTCATAGGAATAAACTTGCAGGAAAAGAATGCATGCTCAATGTTAATTATGGTAAAGCAAAAATTAGGATTGCTTTCACCTTGAATACTGCTCAATATACATTTACAATGCCTGTATGCAAATACACAAACATTTCACTACAGTACATCCAAGCGCTGAATTAACTTTCTTGCTCAGCCAATTCAGTAGTATGAATTGATCTATATCTTCACAACACTAGCTGCATGGAATTTGTTAATAGTAGCTGTATAGAATAGAATTCTGAATTCTGATTTTTGTAAAAAAGCAGACAAAAGAACAACTTAGGAATTTACATTAGAAATAAAATGGTATATTAGTTATACCACTTGATTGGTTTTATAGAACAATTCTGCAAACATTACATTTTAGGCAGATTTCTGGACAACACAGTTCAGGAGATACTCACCATTATAGAGAGAACCTCCTTCAGCATATTCCATAACAAGACACACCTTAGTGGAAAAAAGTATGTGTGAGATTAAAATAAGTTTTTGGTTTTTATGAGAAATGTTTTAAGTAGGGATATTTAAGAAACTCTATCTGAATTTCTGTTTGAACTTGAGGGTTCCAAATTACCTGGCTTTTTTGTGCAGCAGCAAGAATATCTAATTGTAATTCTTCTTCTTCCCTGCTCCCCACCCTTTACCTTACTGATGGCACACAAGCAGTTGTGCACATTGATAAAATGCAGCTCATCTATACTATGTTCCAAGAATAATCATTTGTGCACACTAGTAAAGTGGATGAGAAAAGAACAGAAACAATACAAGTTGTGGAAAACTGCATGCTCCTGAATTCCTTTTAGACATTCTTCAAGTTAAATTGGTGTAGAATGCTGTACCAAGTGGACTCATGGAGCAGAAATGGAATGGAACTGGGAAACCAGGCTTACTTGAAATTTATTGATAAATATATGCTAAATAGATATTCAAGACAGTTATTCTTATAAATAACAAGAGGGTGGAGAAATAATGATATCTGTGAAAAAAGTCAAAGAAAAAGCTAGTAGGCACTGTTAACTCAAACAAACTTAAATCATCTTAACATGTTTCGGGCAGTCTTCCCCAAACTTGGGCCTTCCAGACACATTTGGACTGCAACACACAGAATTCCCAGTCAATGGCCCTGCTGGATGGGAATTCTCGGAGTTGCAGTTCAAATGCCTCTGCAGACCATCAGGTTGGGAAAGACTGGTTTAGGGCCACAGCAAGGTCATAGTGTGATCTCAAAAGCTACAGAAGTGCTACTTACTGGATTCAAACAAGCGCCATATAACTTGACAATATTAGGATGGTTCACACGTGACAACTGTCGAAGCTGGAAATTTAAAAAGCCAGGTATTTAAATAATCCATAAAAACAAATGATAAAAATACAATAAAATATCAGAAAAAATTAAAAAGTTTAAAACAGCTGAAATCAACTAAAAACAGATGATGTGGGAAATCTTTTCTATCCCACAATTCTTCTATACAGAGAACTTAAGAGAGAGCAGGCCCCTTCCTTTGTTCTAGGAAGGAGAAAGGGGTCATGTCCCACCTTCTCAATGGAAACTGATTCAAGGAAACGTGATGGTTTGTCTTTCATTTTGTGTATGGATTATCAGACACCCAGAAGCGGGATGAATACTTCTCACTGCATCTGAGCTTCTGTAATGTTTAGCACAATGAGACTGAGTGAACCAGACTTCCAAAGGTCTTTGGGATAGAGCAGTAGTATTCTGCCATTTCTGAAGCATGTCAGAACCCTCTCATTGCCTTTGAATAACTTCAGAGTAAAAAACACCAATGGCCTGGGAACAGACTACCCAAAGGATCATTCCTTCTCCTGCCCACATATATACTTGTCCAGATCATCTCTGAAGACTCTCCTCCAGGTTCTCTGCTAAATAAAGAAAGTTAAGTAGCTAATAAGAAAATGGCTTTTCCAGTGGTGGGACTGCAGTGGTAGAATACCCTCTCCAGAGATGTCTGCCTGACACCTTTATTATAGTCTTTCAGCACCAGGTAAAACCCTTTTTATTTTCCCAGAATGTTTAGGCCTTCAGGTTTAGTTTTATAAAAGTCCATGCTTTTAATGCCTTAGCAAAACTGCAGACATTCCTCTGATTTTAGTCTTTTAAAACATTAGCATAACTTTTGGGGGGTTTTTTTTTCAATAAGTCAATAAAAGGCAAGTGCCTGTGGCTCAGGAAGTCCTTTACATATATCCACTTCTTTTCAGAATAAAAGAATATATCCGCTTCAAAATAAGTGGGAAGGAGTTGAGGTGCATGTACACCAATGCTAGGAGCATGGGTAATAAGCAGGAAGAGCTTGAAGCTCTCCTGGGAATAGGAGGGTATGATCTGGTGGGAATCACAGAAACTTGGTGGGATGAAAGGCAAGTCTGGAATGTGAACATAGAAGGGTATCACCTTTTTAGAAAGGACAGGAAGGGAAAGAGGAGTGGGGGCGTGGCTTTATACGTCAGGGAAGGGATAGGATGCAGTGAGACAGAATGCAGCACAGATGGGGATTCGGTAGAGGCAGTCTGGGTGAAGCTTAGGGGTTTTGACAGGGAAAGAGA